TGCAGATTGTGCTTCATTCACAATGTTAGGCAAAACAAGCTTCAGTCTCTTGGATAGTACCTTGGAAAGGATTTTATATATAGAACTAATCAAGCTGATGGGCCTGAAGTCAAACAGAGATACAGAATTACCCTTTTTGGGGATAAGACTCACAAATGAGCAATTAAGACCCCTGGCCAAAGTACTATTCTCATGAAATTCTTTCATGAAGTTTAAAATGTCATGTTTCATAAAATTCCAGCATTTCTGGAAACAGGACAGGTTAAAGGCATCCGGACCTGGGGCTTTGTTTCCATCACAGTCCTTAATAGCAGCCCAAACTTCCTCTTCAGAGAAGGCACTTTCCAGAATGGTTGATGCATTATTGTGCATGTTGATGGAATTAAATTGGCCTCTCAGTTTAGGCCTACACTTCCAATGCTCTGAGTAGAGTAATTTGAAATGATTCACCACAGCAGTTTTAATTTCAACAGGTTGCACCACTGAGATCCCATTGACTTCTATTGAATCGAGTGACTTTCTGTTATGTCTGTTTGTGGCAGTAATGTGGAAGAACCTGGTGTTCTTATCACCTTTCAATGACCAGATAAGCCTAGATTTCTGTAACCATAATCTCTCTTCCATCTTTCTCAACTTCCAAACTTCCCTTAATAATTCCATCCTTCTAGCAGATTCATCAACTTGGAGAGTTCTAACCTCAGCTAGCAAGTCCCATGAGTGAAGTTCAGCTTCCTTCTCCTTGAGATTTTCATTGATGTTACCAAATACCTCCTTATTCCAATTTTTGAGACACAATTTAAGAGCTTATAACTTCTTCTTTAGGATGTAACCAGCCCAGCCCTCCAAATTTAAGTGCTTCCAATTTTGCTTCACTGTTTGATAAAAACTGGTGTGCATAGCCCAAGAGTTAAGAAATCTAAAGGGTCTAGGACCCCAATCCCTCTCATCCTCCATTAGCAACAGAGGACAGTGATTAGACAAGGATCTAGGCAAACCCCAAAGTTTGAACCTAAAAGATTCAAGCCACTCTGGATTTAAAATGAACCTATCAATTCTGCTCCACCTATCACCATCCTGAGAACTACCCCATGTGTATTTTCTGCCCAGCATTGGTAAGTCTAACCCTCCAATTTTTTCAATAAAATTTCCGAAATCCTTCATCCCCACATCCCTCCTGACACAACCCTTCATTTCCCCTATACTTTTGACTTCATTGAAATCACCCCCAATACACCAAGGATGAGTGAAAGTGGTTCTAAGACTGCATAATAATTCCCACAGTCTCCTCCTTTTCAGCAAATCATTAGAAGCATAGACATTGACAATAATACAGCTAAAGTTTAGAGAAGTGATACCTGAGAGCAAAATGAAATTCTTGCTGCAACAACAATCTGACAAAGAGAAAACCTCAGGTTTCCAAATACACAACAGCCCACCTGCATTCCCTACTGCATCAACAACCATGAACTCCAACTGATCCCCAGGCCATAAGGATCTAACAAATGATTCTGAAATCTCTGCCTTCTTAGTCTCTTGAATTAAAGCAATATCTACTTTTCTTACTCTAAGGAGCTCCTTTAATTTCCTTCTTTTCTCCGGATTTCCCAACCCTCTAATATTCCAAGAGAATAACTTCATTGATAAACAATCTAAGGCTCCCAAACCACCTAAGCTTGCAGGATCAGGACTATTTAGCAGCATCAAGCTGCTTCCTCCTTTCCAGATCTTGGGTTTCAAGCACCATGATCTTCTCAATAACTTCGGTCTCTTTTCCTTCACAATTAATGCCAAGAAGATTTCCAATTTGTAAGGTGGCTTGTGCCTCATTTAGAAGGAATCTTCCTTTGCTCGACCTGCTACTCAATGAAATCGAGTCTGACAGTGCCTTAGTGGCAGCTCTGAGAAGCACACCCTTGTTAAATCTTGCACCTCCATTTACCTTGGCCTTTGATTTCTTTGGAACTTTCGTAGGGTGTGTCTTTGCTGTAGAATGACATCTGCTAACCTCTGTTGCTTTGCTAGTCCCCCCCTGTAGGCTTGACTGCATTAAGGGAGCAGCTGCTACGGGCTTTTGCGACCCAGAGTTGGTTGGGTCAACTCTGCTTATAACATCCCTGGGCTGTGTTAAGGTATCCAGTGCTCTGGGATTATGCAACCCAGAGTTGGTTGGGACAGCACTTCCTATTAGGTCCACCCTATTAGGCCCATGGACTATTTGAGGCATGGTGAGGTTTGAATTAACAAACTGGACTGGGCCTAAAAACACCTCCAGATGCATGCTAGGCTGAAGTAAATCAAACCCATTGAAGCTTTTCATAAAGCCAGAAGTAGAAATAAGGCCATCAACTAATCGATTTCCATAGTCTGCAACAAGGCCATTGTTATCTGACATGGTTGTCACATTCCTAAAGCATGCACCTCCAATACTCATCTTATCCAAGTCCCGAGCCGTCTCCTTTATTACAGAGATAGCCATCAGACTATCATTACCTGACAACTCCATTTCCTTTAATGCTCCTTGTATACACACGTCACCGCCAGAGTTCCTTACGGGCTCCACCTCATCGTTCGTTGCCACCTCATCATCTTCTTTCCTGAGGATTACACCATTGTCAACAGAGTGCTCATCCCCCCTGCTTGCATTAACAGAAGTAACCTCTCGCATATGAATATCAGAGAAACTTGGGTTTTCTATAACGACTACTTGTTCTTCACAAACTCGGATCTGGTGAAGTGTGCCTTTGCAATCCAGAGTTATCACTTGGTTAATGCATTCCATTACTTTGGTTGCTATTTTAACTTTACCACAGCAAAGGTATGACATTTCAAGTGTACTTCTATCGATCTCGATGACATCACCCCATAGCATGCCTATACTCTTGAAATTGATAGAGTTCCAGAGATTGAGGGGTACTCCATAACAGCTAATCCATACCTCCCTTTCATGCTCAATGACTATGTCCTTGGTCCATTGTGTGATGAACTCACACCATTCATGGGTCCAAAGTTCCAGCTCCTTTCTTGCACTATTCATTGCCTCTTCTGATTTGAAAGAGAGAATCACCGATTTGCCTCCAATCTCTCTAACGTGAGCATCAGATCCATACCTGCTTGACATTTCTATTTTGAAATCAGATACAAGGCAGAGAGGCTTGAGTTTGGCAACTAGGCTCTCATGTAGCCACCTATTTCCATACTCCTCTGCTTTAACTACTATCCTTTTGTCCTTGGCAGCCCTTGTACCAGGCACCACATCAGCATAACTTTGTACAGTATTCCGTATACTGGGCATACTGACATGATTTCTATGGGTTGTAGTACCTACGCCTCTCTGCAGCACCCGCTGCTTCCCATTTTTGCTTTAGGCTTTGCTGAACTCTGCCATCTTTACCTTGATCTCACGATTGTCACACCAAGTGCTCACCTATGTTCATTTCACCTCAAACTGCCACCGCTGCCGATCTCTTTGTCTCTGCCATCCCTCAGTATGTGCTTTATATACTTGAAACAATCATTACCGTCATCTATTTGTCAAGTACCAATTCTACCTCTCCATGTGACGCATCTCACTAGTTTAGATATAGATGTTGCTAAATTTTAATGTCGTTTCTCAGTCTCTATTTTATTTTATTCTCTATTTGTTGGTCTATATGTTGTTGGTTGACAAAGATTTGATTGTTGATGTTTATTTTATACATTTTGTCTCAGTCAACTCTTTCAACCATCCTTGATAACAGTGAAATTTCTAAGTAAAATCAGTGAAGTTGCTATATTTAGCGAGATTTCATTAAGTTAAACTACTTGTGCACACTGCAGGAAATTCAGCTTTTAGTGGCGTTTAAAAAACGCCGCTAAAAGTGCCAAAAACGCCACCAATTCTTTTTGTGACGCTTAGCTTACTTGACATGTTGAACTTTACCTCATCATCTTCACTTCTCAACCTCCCCGTCAATCGGGGCATAGAGATGTTGGACTCTAGGGAGCTTTCGAATTGCCTTCTTTGGTTTGTATGGGATTCTATTGGTGTTTGTGAATAATATAGATTCTCATCAGCCCCAACCAATTGGGGCTTTTCTTTGAGCACCAACAAGGCAATAATCCAATCTTAAAGATGATATAGAAAGAAGAAAGCAAATGAAATTAAAAACTCACAGTGCATCCACTGCTTATCAAAGCCTTGACAAAAACATCATTTGACAGTACATCCAATTTCTTCTGTTCTTCACCCTGAAAAATGAAACAGATGTGATCTATCGTAGTCTTTAAGTAACACATACCTTTCCTAACTCAACTCCCCACTGGTCAAAGGAGTTGATACCCCAAATGAAGCCTTCAACAGCAATTCTGTGTTCATAGAATGCCAGCAACTGAGGAAGACAGATCAAGATTTGTGGGATTAGATCACATAGGCAGATACGTTGACCACTTAGAGTTAGCAAGAAGACACCAGATATGCACCAAGACCAGAACCAACATCTGCATGTGTTGGATACCCAGTCATAGAGATTCTAGATATGCACTTACGATATAATCTCAATAGACCTCTTGGAACTTCAAACAGCTAAATGTGCTAAAGACAATAATATAAGACTAATTTGAAATTCTTGAAAACCTCTTATTAAAAGGTCAAGTGTCATGCTATACACACTACTCTACAGAAAAAGAAAAATAACATTATTGAACCACTCATTAGCAGCCTCAAATAAGAAATATTTTTACACTTCAAGAAGCATCAGACGTAACTAGTTCATGCATGAATTTACTATTTATATGGTCATTATCTGTAAGAACATTTACTTATTGGCAACTGGAGTACTATATATAAAACAGAGCATGAAAATTACCTGGTGAATTAATTGGTAAAAGCTATGCTGACCATTTGTTCCTGGTTCACCGAAATCGATTTCACCAGCCTCATAGGGAAGAGCCACACCATGAATTGATAAGATGCTGGGAGACATTCTCACTTTGCAACTGTTGTGGGGTCTATAAATATGCGAAATTTAGTTAGATATCCTGGCATTAAGATAGAAGTTGGAAACTAGAGGCAGATGAATAGAAACAAATCCAGTGATTTCGAGATATGAATTTAAGCAATTGCATATGGAAAACAAACAAAACATTTCAGAATTTTGTATAGTGTCAAACAACACCTTGACAAGGTTATGGAAAATAATTCATTTACCTTCCCATAAACAACACCTTGACAAGGTTATGGAAAATAATTCATTTACCTTCCCATAAACAACACCTTGACAAGGTTATGGAAAATAATTCATTTACCTTCCCATAAACAACACCTTGACAAGGTTATGGAAAATAATTCATTTACCTTCCCATAAACAACACCTTGACAAGGTTATGGAAAATAATTCATTTACCTTCCCATAAACAACACCTTGACAAGGTTATGGAAAATAATTCATTTACCTTCCCATAAGCAAGGGCATCTGGCTGTGCAAAAAAGTTAGACATGAGCTCATCGTGGTTACTCACCACTTCACCTGCAACACAAATTCAATGAAAATTATGTAACAGATAAAGTCACCATCAAGAAAGCAAAAAAGTAAAAAAAAAAAAAAGGAAACACAAAGGAAAGGATCTAAAGACCGCCTTTACTGAGATCAAGCTTTGTGATCAAGAAGAAGAATAAAGCAAAAGACTTAGCTACCTTTCAGGTACACAGGCTGCTGACTCTTCACAATGCCAATAAAATCACAAGGAATAACTCGCCCCTGAAGGTTCCAAGAAGATGCATTATAGGGACATAGGTTTTAACTTATGGAATGGATATATACAAGCTAAATATAATCAAGTGTACAAGGCAAACACAAATACACCAGCAGCAACATGGCAAACAGTTTTGTATTTCATTGGTCAACAAGAAATTTAAGTTCTACATAACACCTCTTATTAAAAGGTCAAGTGTCATGCTATACACACTACTCTACAGAAAAAGAAAAATAACATTATTGAACCACTCATTAGCAGCCTCAAATAAGAAATATTTTTACACTTCAAGAAGCATCAGACGTAACTAGTTCATGCATGAATTTACTATTCATATGGGTCATTCATTCCATGTAAATGGACAGTCCAGATTTATTGGTGACATGACTATATCATTGTCACATATGATAGTTAATAATTGAAGAGTAATGCATATATTAAACAATCACACTCCTGATTGGTGATACCTATCCCATATCATAAAGCAGAGTGAACAATGATTAACATGAGATTAACATGGATGATTAACATGAGATGTATAACTAATATCCCCTCTGCTCTGGATTATCTCCCTTTCTTCATCCAAAGGAAAAAATAATGTACCAAATCTTATCTCAGTCTTTATTCCACTACAATGAAACATAATACAATAATTCCATGAATATATAACAAATCCACTGAATATCATATGGCATACCCAAAAAATAACATTTGGGACCGACATTATTAATCGGCCCCCTCATCCCCCTAATTCCATCCCGACAAACAAACATGGACAAGGAGTTAAAAATTGTTGTTTATTCTTTCAATAATTCTAACATCTAAACCTAGATTAGTGACTGAGGTGCGAAAAGAATCAAAGAAAATAGAATCTAAAGTAATTTCTTGAACAAAATAGAATCTAAAGTAACCTAGATAAGAATCAAAGAAAATAGAATCTAAAGAAACCTAGATTAGCAGCCTCAATTCCACCCAATCTCTGACTATTCTCAAAATTGAACAAATGCATTTCAACAAATTTTTATGTAAAAACATATCAAACCAGTGCTTGAATCCAAATGTCTACATAACCACTGGAATCACCTTGTTGCTGAAAATTAGGAGATTTTGGTTTAAATTTTTTACTTGGAAGGCCTGATTCTAGAAACTTCTATGCTTGCTTTTATCATCAAGATCTTCATCTGGGCAGCATTTAATCTGGTGGGTCACAAGGTGGTGGTATAAGATTTGTTCACTGGTGGTTGTTCACAAGGGTGGCAGGGAAGGGGTTGTTGGATGGTGGAAGCTCACGAGATGGTCCACAGCTGACTTGACTCGGTACCGACACCTTTCCTTTTTGTGCGGGAAAGGGTTATTCGATGGTGGTAGCTCATGGGGTAGTGATGCCTGGTTGATGTAACCACTGGGTGGTGGACCTACTGTTGTAGAGGGTTTTATAAGGGTGGTGACAATGGCAGAAAAAGAGGTTTGGAGAGAAGGGGTTGCATTGTGAAGATGGAATTGTATGTGGCGTTGGCACTATGTTAATGAGGGCATTCTTATCTTTCTCAAAATTTATTTCAGTCATTTTAGTTTCACAATTAACACACAAATATTACAAAATCCCTGTAAGAGACAAAGGCTACAACAACAGTTCACAGAAAAAAACAAATGGAATCATAAGTACTAAAGACATGTAATTTAGGGGCAAATTAAGCATAAAGAGGGCTTTCTATCTATATTGATGATCAAAATGATCAATCTTCAATTCTCTCTCTCAAAGCATCAAAAGTTCTATGATGCCTCAAATTCAACTACATTCAAATTATTTCCTTTTAATCTCCTCTTTTCTTTTCTTCACTCTAATATATGTACTTATTTTTTATCTGTCTTACCTTTTTCAAAGAAAAGTAAAAATAAAAAAATAAATTGAGTATCTTTGTTTGCAAGTTGCATGCAGCCATCTTCAAATATCAGGCATCCATTTCCAATAATCCCTTGATTTAATCTTGGCAAATGGAGCTAAAACACAATGATATTACAAAGACAACAGGGGAAATAACAGATCTCTTCAGTGATGGTGCTATAATGATGAAGACAAAAGGTTAGTAAAAGACGTACTCAGACTTGAATGACATGATACGCCTCCTGAGATCATCTTCACGTGCTTCCACTTCATGTAACTTTCTTTCAGCAATGCGGTGATACCGGTTGGCTTCAGCTTCTAAAGATTCTGCTGCATGCAGCTTCACCTCAGCCTCAGTGTACTTTTTCTGAGCATCCTCCACCATACTTTGTGCTTCAGCCAATTTGCTCTCGGCTGCAACTTTTGTCTCAGCATATTCTGCACGCATCTCATGCAATGCCTTCTCAATCTACAGAAAAATCCCAAATTAGGAATAAAGATGATGGTGAAACCGATAGGAAAAGGGCTATTTAAATAAGCATACATTTCTAACACACTCCTTCTCAATTCCAAAAGCCTTCTTCAGATTCTCCTCTCGTTTCTTGGCTTCAGCTAAAGCAGATGAGTGTGAAGCTTGATCCCGCTTATACAGAAATTCAGCAGATTCAGCAGAGGATTTAATTTGCTCATACTTGGAAACCCACTCCTTTCTTTCCATAATAAGAAGACCCATGTGGTGTTGATGATCATTGATCTACATAAATTTTAGATGGTGCTTAGTAATGAAATTGATAACCCACATGAATGTAATGCCACTGTAGATTTGGAAATTTTCAATTGATCCATTAAAACTTTCAAGTAAGCCACTTTCACTTGCCAAATGAATTATACAACTCACAAAATCATGACTAACCAATTTAACACACTATCCACAAGAACATGAAATATTTCCCGCTCATTTCCCCTTCTTCAAAAAATTAAATATATTTAACAACGCATGAACTGAACCCTATCTGACACAAGGGCATCTCCAACCCTTGACTCAAACCTATATCAAATTTAAATTTTAGTCAAAATCACTCAAAAACCTCTCCGCTCCTTGGCTCAAACTTATATCAAATAGAGTTTTACCCATTTTTTCACTCAAAATTTTCAACACCATCTTGTGGTTTTAAAATTTACAACTCTGCCATTACCGAAGCCTATACTTAAATTTTTACTGGAGATGGCCTAAAGGATGTGATACAAAATTAAAATCGACTTAAAGTTGTTCTCATTTTTTTTTTTCTTCAAATTCTTGAGAACCACCAAAATTACTTCATTAACATAAAAGGGTATTGGTGAGGGTGGATTTGGGTTTTCTCTCAAGCAATTCATATTAATCAACTGATGCTCTATGCTACCTAACGTAAAATCCTATTGCTAAATAGACAGGTATTCATATCAAAATAAGGCAATGATTCTCCAAATTATGTGATGTTGTTCACAAGATCACAAAATTGCTTGGAGAGCATATGACTTATTGAGCTTTTTAGGCCTTGGTGTGATTTTGTTTATGTGTTCGTAGCAAAACTGTTAAATTATTGGTATTTTTTTGAATTGACAGGTATTAGAGGTGATGTTTGAAGGGGAAATGGATAGAGAAAAGTGGAAAATGCCAAAGGAAAATTCAACATGCTAATTTAGGGTAATTCAACATTCAATATGATGAATACGCGCGTGTGGGTCACCACATTCGGAGGCGTTTTTAAACGCCTCCCATTATAAAACGGTGTCGTTTTGTTTAATAGAATATGCAGCGTTTATAAAACGCCGTTAAATGATAATAACAGTGACGTTTATAGAAACGTCGTTAAAAAAACGCCACAAAATCCCCCTTTTCTTGTAGTGGCAATTTCACTTATTAATTAATTTGAAAGTGAAATTGTCACAAAAAATTCAGCGTCCTAACATAATGTAACTTTTGGTTGTGGAATGAATAACATGTAGTATGGCAATTTCAAGAACAACAAAACAGCCGGAATAATGGATCTTAGATGGGGTCCTGATAGCTTTGTAGATGATATTGGTTCTCAAAGCGATGGAAAATTCTCATATTGTCTTCTAGTGGTTAATCTCATGACAATCTCTTTTAGGCCTAGAAGTTATTTTAGGGAGCGCGAATAATACTAGCGGTCTCTATAGTTAGAGACTTGTATCATTTTAATTTTTTTTTTTTAATTATGATACATTTGATCACGAATTTTGAATTTCGAACCAAATAAGTCCAATTGAACACATTGTTACTCTATTTCAAAGGCAAAGTTATCAATTTGAAAAAATATAAACTAATTTAATAAAAATAAATGTTAAAAATTTATTTTTGAATTTTAAAAAATTATTTCTACCCACCAAAGATAAAAAGTATATAAAAATGATAAATCTTTTACATTTTTATTTATTTTTTTTTACCAAATTAAATTTTAGTATGTGTTTGGATGATGATCATGTAATAGATATTTGTTTTTATTGATATTTTTGGATGATTATGATGTAATAAATGGTTGCATTTGTTGTTAATAGATATTTTTTGATGGTTATCACGTAATGGATGATTATTAGCTTTTAATGTGTAAGTAATATGTTTAATATATGAAATGCTTTTAATTTTGAATTTTTTGATTTAATGGATTGATTTTAGTAATGACGTCTAAATAGTCGCCATGTTTCACTTCTGAAAAAATTAAAACTAATTTAACGAAAATAAATATCAAAAAAAATTATTTCTACCATCCCAAAAGATAAAATTATATAAAATGACGTGTTTTTAATTTTTTTTTTCACCAATTTAATTTTTAATTTCTTAGAAATTTTTTCTAAAAATGGATTTTAAAAACTAAGCTAAACATAAATTTATAACCAATGAACTTCCAATATTATTCATTAAAAAAAATGTCATTACTTTCCAAACAACATATAAGTTAACCAATACAAAATAAGTTGTATGACGCTTTTGCTCTTAAAATGGACCATTTACAAAGGAAACATATTTAATTGTCTATATTTTGAATAAGATTTAAAATTTATGATCAAACGTATCAAAATTGCAAAGTCAAATATGAAAATAATACAAGCACCAAATTACAGAGACTGTTAATATAATTTGCCCCTTTAGGAATCACATCATTGCAACGCTTCAATAAGGAGTAATTGCTTTACTGCATAGAATTGCAAGGGATTAGCCTCGATGAGAGGAGACTCAATATAAGCACAATGGTATTTGCATTGAGAGACGATGGCAATACTAGTGGGTGCATCGTAGACTTTCGCTTCGGAAATTCACGCGTCGTTAAGCCTACTTTTGAGGTTTTGTTAAATGAATTGCAAAAGCATTTCTCTAGTTCTAAGAACTTGAAAAGGTGCCATTGAAATTCATCAAGCTAGGAACTCTGCTACCAGCGACACAAGGCCGAAGGGTTTAATAACCTTCCTACTATCACTTTTCATTTCATAGGAACTCAGGCTAATCTGGTGATCAAACCTAAGGGCTCGTTCGAAGTGGGTGATAAAATGGCTTCGAATAAAAAACATGAATATTTCTGTTTAGCAATGTTATCTGTGGGGATATATTTTCTGAGTACCAACACGTGGTCAAGGTGACGCCGACGTGTCAGCCGAGGTGCCATGTGTCCTGGTTGTTATGCCGAGGTCATCTCAGATAGGCTGAGGTTACCTCCGAAGATATCGAAATCCAAGATAAGCGGATGAGGGACAAAAGTCCTAGAATGAGAGAAGACTTCAGTTTGTATTAAGATAAGACTCTTAGAGAGTTTATCCTAATCTTACTAGGAGTCCAATATTAGCAGTAATCCTGAGTCCATAGAAGTTAGGCTTCTATTAGGACTAGGTTTATGTTGGCTATAAAAGAGAGGCACCCCCATGGGTCTAAGGTATGCTTTTGATACTCAAGCTTGTGAGTTTAGCACTTGATTTATCTTTGAGAGATATACTGACTTGATCGTCAGAGTGCCCCCAGGTGGACGAACCACCACCGGAATCTTCTCTTTCTGTTGCAGGTCAGCCAGGTGTCATCTATTCTGCTGGTGCTCTCTAGCTGGTTACTAAGCGGGCAGTGTGGTCAGAAAATCGCTCACACAATTTGGCGCCGTCTGTGGGAAAGAAAGAAGAATAGATGGCCAATGAAAGAAAGAAGAATAGATGGCCAATGACGGATAGAAGGATCAGATTGGAGACAACACTCCTGCTGGGAGTGGGAGACCTATCAACCTCGACGTTGAAAGAGACGACCGCAACACAGAAACTCGTGACCACAGTCACGGAGTGAAAGACGTCGGTCAGAAAGGTGACACACCAAAGACAACAGATCGAAGCGGATACTACAACGAAGATGACCTCCAAGTATGGAAGGATAGATACCTGCAGAGGAACGAAGACCCTTCCAGAAGGGATGCAAAGACAGGGGGCATGAGCGCTCCCAAGGAGATAACATTCAAGTATAGAAGAACTCATCCTAAGTGAGCAGATCTCGGATTCTAGATCCTGGATCCCGGATTCTAGATGACATGATCTCGGCCTAGATGAGTAGGTCCGAGAAGAGAAGAGCTCAACCTGAGTGACCAGATCTAAGATTCTAGCAGACAAGATCTTGGCACTTAAGCCTGAGAAGAGAAGAGCTCAATGAGCAGATCTCAGATCCCAAAAGATAAAAAAAGAAAAAAAAACACAAGGTTGGACTGCAGTTAGCCAGGTTGAAGACCTTTTATAAGGTTCGCAAAGAAGTATGTGGAAGCCATGTAGGGGGCAGAGAGAAGAAAAATATGTTTACCACTTGTTGAAATTTGCAGCAATTTACAAGTTGGTTAAATCGATATGATGTTTACCACTTATTGAAATTTGTAGCAATTTACAAGTTGGTTAAACCGATATGATGTTTAACACTTGTTGAAATTCTGTGTGAATTTACAAGTTGAAGTTAAACCTAGGTCATATTTAACACTTGTTGAAATTCTGTGTGAATTTACAAGTTGAAGTTAAACCGAGATGATGTTTAACACTTGTTTGAATTTACAAGTTGAGGTTAAACCGAGATGATGTTTAACACTTGTTGAAATTCTGTGTGAATTTACAAGTTGAAGTTAAACCGAGGTCATATTTAACACTTGTTGAAATTCTGTGTGAATTTACAAGTTGAAGTTAAACCGATGTGATATTTAAACACTTGTTGAAATTCTGTGTGAATTTACAAGTTGAAGTTAAACCAAGGTCGTATCGGAAGAAGATTGGTTTAAACACTTGTTGAAATTCTGTGTGAATTTACAAGTTATAGTTAAACCGAGGTCGTATCGAAAGGAAGATAGTTTAACACTTGTTGAAATTTTGAGAAAAATTTACAAGCTGAAGTTAAGCCGAGGTTATGATAAAGGATGATGGTTAAAACACTTGTTGAAATTTTTGAGAAAAATTTACAAGTTAAAGTCAAGCTCAAGCAATATCTGCGTACTTGCCGAGACTACCAAGTTGTCAAAACTTGAAATATGGAAAACTGAAGTCTTGATAGAAGACATTGAGAAAGTGACAAGTCCTAAGCAACACTTGTGAAAATATTTGTTACAATATTTTCAAGTGTTAGGACAAGGCCGAGATGAGCAAGATTAGAAGTTGTGACAGAGTTATTTTACCCGAAAAGATTGCACAGTCAAGGTGTACTTTGAAGACATGCAAATTATTCTAAGTGTATAATCATACAAGAGCAGAAAAAAGAAGACATTCATTCAAAGAAGAAATTAGAGAAATGCATTTAAAGAAGAAAGAAGGCACTTCGGCCTGAATATTGAAAAATAAATTATTCAGACTGCAAAAATGGCACGTCGGCCGGATTAAAAGCATACAAAGAAGGACAAAGTACAAGGTACAATGTACAAGGAGTAAAAGAAGGAAACAAAACTACTCAGCATCAATGGCAAGATATAGAAGATAGTTAGGAAGACTTCTCAGCCTCGAGCTCAGCATCGATCTCCCGAAGAGTTTGATCAAAGCTCTTCTCGGCGATTGGCACCTCGGAGTTTGAAGGCAAGGATTGAAGCAAGAATCTGGAAAAAGACACAAAAAACAAAAATAAGAATGTAATTCGTAATCAAGAATGGTGATGAAGCTATCAAGAAATCAAGACAAAAAGATTGCACAGGTGTGTCAAGCCAAGAACAGTGGCAAAAATCAACAGATGTGTGAACATTGTGTATTCAAGAAGATGATTTGGAAACAACGGGTAAAACAGCAATGGTGATTAACAATGAAGCAGAGCTTCTTGGAAAGCAACAAGAAATAAAACCAGGTGGAACAATGACGGATTTAAGCAAAAAAGCTAGAAAGAGAAAAAACCAGAGGATTGAATGAAAAAAGAGAAAAATCAGAGTCAAGAAGACGACAAAGTTCAAGAATAAAGCCAAATGCACAGGCACTAAGTATGTATGTGAAGAACAAGAAAGTAATAACCCAGACACGATGCTAGTAAACAGAAAGCAGATATGGCAAGAACAGTGCCAGGCGTTCAAATAATTCCAAACTTGAAAACAAACGAAAATAGAAGATAACAGAGGGCAAGTAAACGGATTCAGAAGAGTTATGAAAGATTGAGCTTAATAAAAGAGTTTATGAACCTACCAAGAGAAATGAACGCCGATATGAAGATCGCCGGAGTCAAATAGATGACTAGAAGTTGGGAACCCACTGAAGAATGTGAGTGGAGCAGTTGCAAAGCTCTTGGAGTTTACGAATTAATGGAGCAAGAACCTCGGCTAGTAGGTGTGATCTCGAGCAGCTTGGAAAGCATGAAGCTTGATACTTGACAGAAGTGGACAGTAAAGTCCAGGGAACTTTGAGGTCGGCGAGTTTGATCTTATTTTAAACATAATAACAAAAAAAAAAAAAACCCAAATCCAAACTCTGGTTTGTTGTTTGAACTCCACAAAACATAGTGTGAGGATATATTTTCTGATACCAACACGTGGCCAAGGTGACACCGACGTGTCAGCCGAGGTGCCACGTGTCCTGGTTGTTATGCCGAGGTCATCTCGGATAGGCCGAGATTACCTCTGAAGATATCGGAATCCGAGATAAACGGATGAGGGGCAACAGTCCTAGAATGAGAGAAGACTTTAGTTTGTATTAAGATAAGACTCTTAGACAGTTTATCCGAATCTTACTGGGAGTCCAAGATTAGTAGTAATCCTTAGTCCATAGAAGTTAGGCTTCTATTAGGACTAGGTTTATGTTGTCTATAAAAGAGAGGCACTCCCATGGGTCTAAGGTATGCTTTTGATACTCAAGCTTGTGAGTTTAGCACTTAATTTATCTTTGAGAGATATACTGACTTGATCGTCGGAGTGCCCCCGGGTGGACGAACCACCGCCAGAATCTTCTCTTTCTGTTGCAGGTCAGTCAGGTGCCATCTATTCTGCCGGTGCTCTCTAGCTGGTTACTAAGTGGGCAGTGTGGTCAGAAAATCGCTCACACCTTATCAGATGATAAAATGACCTCTATAGAGAGACACAAATAGACAAATCAAAGAACTATATATGATACCAAAAAACAATTGCTTTTCTACAAGGTAATTTGTGCTCTTCTTTACCATTTACTGTGACATAGTTTTCATTCAAAGGATCAGGGTTAAGCTTTTATTTATTTATTAATTTTTCATTTTGAAGCAAGAGGCCCATCAAAATAATTTATATAATTTCAAAGTCGTGGAACTTGAAGAGGTACTATTTTTTGGCTGAAAAAAAGTTAAGTGCACAGAAATAATTCATAGACAAATATGCGTCTTGTCTATGATTAATAATTTTTAATGATATCAGAAATTTATTTTAGGTAATAATTCAAACAATTTTATCATTGTATAGAGCAGTTAGAAATTTCATTTTTCAGTTAATTATGTTCGATAAAAAAGTTTGACAAGTGGAATTTGTAGTTTTTCAAACTATAAAGAACAATTTGTATTTTAAGCAAATTTCAAAAAATGTATTTATAATTTACCATTGCATTAAATAAAAATGCTTGGAACCCCTAAAGTTGGGGATCCCATGACCCCCCAAAATAATGTGGACTAATCATATGTGTTTGTTTTTTTATGTGTTTTTTTTTTTTTTTTTTTGTTTTTTTTTTTTTCTTTCCTTCCTGGACTAATCACAGATGAACGAGGGTTATGAGAGATGTGGTTTTTGGAGGTTTGTAGCATTTTTGTGCATTAAAACATAAATTAGTTACATAATCAAATACAAAATGCGTATAAATGGATAAAGGATCTCATTTTTTTGGTTCTGTTATTGTTGGAATGGCACACATACACTAGAGCTAATAAATAATTTTTGGATAAATTATGTCAATGATCCCTCTAATTTACACGATGTATCAATTTGGTCCCTATTATTTTATTTTGCTCAATTTTGTCCATTAATTTAACGGATTATGTCATATTGGCCAAATATATAACAGCCGTTAGATTTGGTGGACGAAAACTCAAACGATGTATTAATTTGGTCCTTATAGTTTACACGATATGCCCATTTGGTCTCTCTCAAAATTAAGCAAATTAAAACAGTAGGGACTAAATTGACACATTGTGTAAACTATAAAGACTAAATTGATATATTGTCTGAGCACGTGACGACTTTTCGTCCACCAAACTTAATAATCGTTATTTATTGGACTAATATGACACAATTTGTTAAGTTAAAGGATAAAACCAAGCAAATTAAAATAATATTGACCAAATTGACACATCGTATAAATTACAGTGACAATTTAAATGATTTACCCATAATTTTTTAAGTAGTTTATGGCAAGGCAAATTCATTAATTTATCACAAAACTATTAATTCTAAGTATTAGAATTCATTTTATAAATTTATAACCTTCCAAGGCCGAATCATTATAAAAGCTTTTTTTTATTATTATTATTTATTTTTTAAGGCCAAATCTAGTGGTTTGAATTTTTTCTATTGTTTTTAACACCATAAAGAAACAAAGTACAACCTGTATTTAAATTAAAGAATTATCACAATTGATTCCTTACATTATTTATATTGTAAAATTTTCCCCACTTTGTGTATTATTTTACCCCCTTAAATTGTAATAAACTATAATGTAGTATCAGTTTACTTTCCTTAACTATAATAGTATATAATTAAAGGGTTGAGTTTCTATAATGTTGAGATATTATAAGAGAACTTAAGGGGCCTGTAAAGTCTACTAAAGGTCTCATTTCGTTTATTTGAATCGTTCATTTTGTAAAGTTTTCAATATATATCATCAATAAAAATATTTAAGTTACTATGATAATTTTAACCTTTTTCATTTTATTATATTTGTCTCAAAAAAACTAGATGAATTATTTCAAAAGTATATTTGTCTCTCATGTTGAGATCTCAACAAGACATAAGTCCAACCCATAATTAAACTTTTTAACTATTAAAGTGTCACACATACACGGTAATCACTACAAGAATTAACACTTTTGGCAACAAAAAAATTGGTCGCTAAAAGTCTATTTTTGGTCGGCAAAAGTTATTCGCGACCAATTTTTTTTGTCGCTAGTTTGGTCGCCAATTAAGGGTCGGCAAAAGTAATTCGCGACCAAAATTTTCGTTGGTCGGGAAAAGTTGCATTTGCCGATTAAATTTTTGGTCGCTAAATATTTATTTACTGCGACTAATCCATTTTGTCGCTAAAACACTTTGGTCGCGAAAAGTTGCCTTTTGCCGACCAAATTTCTTAGTCGCCAATTGTCACATTCCACGACCAAAATTAGTTTGGTCGCCAATTGTGATATTTCGCGACCAAAAATTTTGGTCGCCAATTGTGACATTCTGCGACCAAAATTAGTTTGGTCGCCAATTGTGACATTTTGAGACCAAAAATTTTGGTCACCAATTGTGACATTTCGCGACCAAAATTAGTTTGGTCACCAATTGTCACGTTCCGCGACTAAAAATTTTGGTCGCCAATTGTGACATTCTGCGACCAATATTAGTTTGGTCGCCAATTGTCACATTTGGTCGCCAACATCCAACAAAATAAACTTGTAATTTTTAATAATCCATCCAATTTATTCAATATAATCTGTAATTTGCAAAAATCATTCAAACCAACAAATAAATTGAATCATGAACATTCAACAAAATACATAGATCAACCATTTCTGAACCTGTTTAATTAAAATCAGCAACTATTATAAGTTTTCATCCACAAATAATTCCAAACTACATATTTCACCTAGCATAAAAATTTAAGACATAACAAATACTTGTTATTATGTTTAAAATTTTTATCCATGTACATCAACCGAAAAATATAACTAGTAGTCTACCAAATATTTTCTATACACACCCATCCAAAAATATAACTACTAATGTATCCAAAAATATAAATACTTGTCTACCCTTTTTCTGCCCATATCAAATCTCTAATCTCCTGGACTGATAGTCAGTGCAGTTTGAACAGGAAACAAGTTCTCTGTAAGTGCTGGATGCAAGAAACCATCCTTCCAAATCATACTTCTTTGCAGTTGCATCATTCAAAGCACCGGAAACAATAGCCACAATTTGATAGGGTAGTTTTAGCTGCAATAGAGAGAATTATGTCATACTTGTAGGAAAGAAAAATGCATAATTAAATAGAGAAAAATCAATTCGTCATCAGCAGGAGCCCATATATAGGACCCTCAAATTTCTTTGGTGTCAAGTGGCTGACTTTTTAGCATTAACCAAACAAAACAACCAATTCCAAGTAGGAGGGATGAGTAGAGGATCATTTGGTTTGGAAGTCCCATGTAGGGTTGCTTGGCTTTTAGCTTTTGGATGCAGTGAAAAATTATGTACCAGTGGTGCTAAGACAAATTTACAGAGTGTTTGAACTTAATATATCTATTATTATTATAAGAGTGTGAAGAATCTGTCATAATATTTGAACTTAAAACTAGTAAGGCAGAACTGCTCCACTTTCTCAAACTGGTGAACTCGGAAAATCCCAAGAGTATCGCCACCATGAGAACCTGCTTCTTTGCGGAAGCAAGAAGAATATCCAGCATATCTAGTAATTCATGCAACATAAATTCAACAAAGCGCAGCCACTTTATAACCAAAAAAATAAAACATAAAAGCCACCATCTAAAAAGCAGAAACACTTCTAAAAAGGTGTTGTTTCCATGTTCAACGTTGGACACAGACACTTGTTAGACACACACCCACACATATCGAACACATGACCAAGCATGTCCTATTATTTATTAAAAATGAAGTCATTATCATTTTCATGTTATAAATCTTTTTAAAAGTTGTCAGAGTGCTCGTATCGTGTCATATCTGTGTCCATGCTCCAACATTCTTTAGTAGCCATAAAGGCAACTATCATTCATGGAAGTAGTTATAAATTTAGAGCTATTGTCTTCCAATCAGTTGTCACAATTATGGTTGGTGCCTAATTGTCCAGGGCGTAATGATAACATCTTAATAACATCTTACACCTAATCTGGTGGCTCACCTTCTCCAAGTAACTGGTAATAGATTATAGGGCCAAAACATGACACTAGTATGACTGTCGGGCTGTGGTATTTCAGGGTTTTGTAGATCAAGGCAAATCTGACCTGCCTGTTCTGTTTTGGTGCTTGAAGGGATGCTCCGATATCTGATCTGTTTTGATATGTTATGCTGTTGTGTTGGTTTTAACAATCTTGGGGATTGGTTTGGATGAAGGGCTGCTACAGGTCAAGGCATTGTGTTTGGTCTGACTGTTGGGCTGTTGTAATTCAGGGCAATGTAGCTCACTGATAGCATCAATTAATTACCCATGTACATCTGAATTAATTACCCGCCTCACAATGATGTTGGAAAAAAAGAATCAATTCAATTGACAGCAATGTACATGAAATGTTTCCCTCACCTGTTATGCAAGCAGAAATCTACTCTCTTCTACTTGTATCTATGTTTGAGGGTAGGAGGTGAGATAATCCAAATGCAATGCTGTTGGACAACAAATCTAAAAGCTTAAGCAGATGGAGAGGGTTTGGTTAAGCATTTCAATCATCAACATTGGACTAAACATAATGAGAAATTATTTCCTGTAAACCGTAACGCCCTTCAAACCAGACAAAGGCTCTAGAAACTTGCCCAATAATTCATATGCATTATCCAAATGTAGAATAATTAAGGAAATAAAAAGTGAGTCTCAAAGCATATCAGCTACCGAGGCTTACTGTTCAATGAAGTTAGTGATGTGTACAGACACAGATAATAAAAATAAAAATAAAAATAGAAAGGCCCTAGATAATTTTACTGAAGCACTTGTACGAAAGAAATCTTTACCATTTTCTGGTGCTGATTTAAAGCTTGCAGTTTATGTTGCTCATATTGATTTCTTCTGCCTTCCTTCCTTAGCTGCTTGAGAAAAAACGTCATCAACAATACATTCAATGATATACGTGCATACCATAACTAACATGTTCAACTTGTTTGCCTCTTTCTTTTTCTTTTTTTTTTCCTTTTTGATTAATTAAATCCGAAGCATGCATAAGTTAAAACTTTTATAAGTGAAACATGTTTGCTTTTTAAAAATGAAGAATCCCAGATTACATGGATATCTGGAAAACGTCAAGTACCTGAAGCAATTTCTTCTCATGAGAGGTCTTCCATTGTCGAAATTGCTCTGCCTTTTATAAGTGAAACATGTTTGCTTTTTAAAAATGAAGAATCCCAGATTACATGGATATCTGGGAAACGTCAAGTACCTGAAGCAATTCCTTCTCATGAGAGGTCTTCCATTGTCGAAATTGCTCTGCCTCGTGTTTTATCTTATGCTGCAATTGAACCTACAAATGAAAGGGAAAATTAGTATGACGGATCCTAAAGTCATATAATAAATAACAGCTTCATGGTTATGTCCTGTCTGCTTGATACAACCATTGGAATGAGAACAAACCTTCTGGACCTTGATGGTCTTTATCTCATCTTGAAGCCGCTTTGCTGCTTCATCACTTCTTTGTTTTTGCTTTAAAAGCTGAAGCTGACAATCTTGTTTCTTCTTAAGATCTAAAATCTGAAGTTGGGTTGGGGGTCGAAATTTTTAGCATTTAAATAATGACAAAGGATTGAGACAACATAATGACATTGGAGAGAGCAAAAAATACCTGTGTCTCAAGTGATTTTAATTTCTGTGCATCAGCTTTGTGCATTTTCTGCCTTTGTCCATCAGAAGCAGCAGCAAGGTTTTCAATTTCAGCTAGCAAACGGTCCCTCTCTTGCTATAGTTATCACAGACCATCATCACCATCATGTAGCCTCTAACATCAATCTCTTTAATATTGAATCCCATGTGAAACGCGTGTTAGAAAGATGATCCTGAATTTACAAAAACATTTATCATGTTCACAGATGTTAATTATGTATGATAATCATAATCAGTCCTGTCTTTCAACAAACCATTAGAAGCACTCTTCCATATTTTCTCCCTGACATAGTGCTGAGATCCTAATGGATATGAATGTGAGTGGACAGCCCCATGCATGTATCGTGTGAAACAAACCACTAGAAGCACTCTTCATACTTTCCCCCTGACAAGTGCTGAGCTCCTAATGGATATCAATGTGTGTGGACAGCTCCATACAAGCATCATGTGAACATGTATCAATGTGTGTAGACATAAGAATGACACTAAATGGCCACTATTATCAATATATTCTTTGAAAATAAGGCAACAGCAGCTTTTAAAAAAGTAAGAATATATTTTTAAGAATGCAAAGCAAGACACTTTGTAGAAATCAGAATCCCAAGCCTGTAGTTTCATCTCGGCTGTATCTCTTGGAAGGAATAGTGACAAAAATGGGGAATAGGCTTCCTAAGCCAAAAAAAAAAAAAAATCTAGCAGAATTATTTACATTACAAATTAGAACATTAGCTCTGGGCATATCCACCCTTGTAGTTTGGGTAAAATTGTAAGGGTCGAAAACATCAGTTTTGCTCAAAAAAGAGGTACATTAGTTGTATTCTCCTTTAAGCCTATGTCATAAATAACAGACTAAAACATTAGCTTTGGGTGTATCAACTTTCATAGAGAAAAAATTGAATATTCAAGATGTGTGACCCAACAACCAGTTTTTATGCAGGAGATTAGAAAAAAAAGACATATTAGATGTTTAACATATGTTCTCCGTTAAGGGTTGAGCCTATATGATAACAAATGTATGGCAGAAAACTGCATAAAACAAAGCCCATCAGTGAAACCTCTTTCTGCTCCAAACGTTTGTTTAACTCATTAAACTCTTTGCCCATCGTTGTTCGCAGGAGTGCATGCTCCCACTCTTTTGCTACAGCTTCATCAATTTCCATGTAATTTTCACTTGCAATTTTAGGCAAATTCATTTGAAACATAAAGAACTGAACTAGAAAAGTGCAATATGAGTCGCATGTTTTAGAGACTAAACACACCTCTCTTACACATACTGTGTAATATAAAAACTGATAACATGCTAACTAAATGACAGAAAAATCAAAGTCTGTCATGCATTAACTAAGGGTATGGCATCTTGAAGCTTATTCCCCTCTCCTTTCAGCCTCATTCATTTGAAATAATCTCACAACTAAGTAGCTTACCTGTCATGGCTTCACCCATGGGATAACCAGATGCATCCATGCTCTGTAAGCCCTTCTTTAGCCCATCCCTTTTAACAAAACAGGAGCCATCCTGAGATAGAAAATGTCACATAACTATCAATCAAGCGCTGTAATAAGTCCGCGGGGGACCTCGCTACAGTTCGGACTCGATTTGTGTTTCACGGTTCTTAATCTTGAACCAAAGAGTCCAAATCCGGCAAATCGTTTTGAGAAACAGATTTTTTGAAAAGAAGAGCCAAACATGGACTGCTTTGCCAGATACAGAGTCGCCACCTAAATATTTTTATTTTGGGAAATTTAGGAAACCCTGACTCGTTGCCTAAGGCCACGTGTCCGTCATCACCGGAGTTGTCTCGGCTCGGGAGCTAGGGTACGATTGGGGAAGGTCAGCTATGAGCACCCCCTCTCGCCTGATCCGAAGACCGGCCTCTACTAACCATGATATCCGATTTTGAAAACGTTTATGTGTTCTTATTCCAATTGTTAGCCTAGAATTACTATGTTATGCGCGCAGCAAACAAGTATAGACTAGATTGCCTAATTTGGAAACAAGCATTGCATATCCGTTTGTTTTGAAAAGCGATTTGGAATTTGCTACTCGCAAGTAGGCTAAAACACGGATTTCAACGAGTTTTTCCAACTCAAACAATCCAACCTCCACCCACAGGCATTCAAACATTTTATATCACGTAAGCATTTAGCCACATGGTAAGCGTGCTGTCATGATAGCATTCACACTCATGCGAGATGCTAAAGCGAAAATACTTACATCGTACTCCATGCCAAAACAGTAAACTAGTTAGCAAACATGCATGTCCTAATTCATGTTAAGAATGGCTAATGCATCGCATGCAAAAATGCAATCTAGACAGGCTAGGTTAACCTAAACATGGCATGTGAAATGCGATCAACTATCACATATTCAATTTGAATTTGAAGTACAAATGCAGTTAGCGTGATGTACCGAGCCTGATGCATGCAATACAAATGCATGAATGCACGCATGCATAGCATAAGGTATGCTAATTTAAAAAATGCCCTAGTCTACCATCATAAGCAGGTAAATAAAAGAGAAGGAAGACGTGAGGTTGGAAGACATACACACACTCACGCACACTTATTACATAATTGCCCTCGCTCGGAGGAAACAAATAAATATTACAGTCCGAATGATAAGCAAATAAAATTATTACAGAATTTCTAATTAGTTAATAGAAAGAATGCAAAAGAAAGAAGAGGATGGCCGCAACCTCTGCCTCGGGATGCACGAATGATGCGTGTTCGAAACCCGGCTCACCTGAAAAACCCGTACCATACCTCTGCCACCTCTGTTTATACTGCCCTGTTTCTCTGAAAATTACCAAAGCCCCAGGACATGTTCCTTGCATGCTGCAGAGTACCACCGGCTAGGGGAAATTCCCACCGGCAGCGCATAATTTCCACCGGCTGTCCATGGATTCATCGGCCGTTCAAAGATTGCCGGCCGGCACTGAATTCTGCCGATCGGCAGAAACTTCCTGTAGAAGACAGTTTTGACAGCAACATAGAACAGACAGTATATGGCATGGGATTTTCAGGCACATGTGAGCATGGTCATACTTCCCATCATGCTTTGAACTCAGGGAAGCATGGCCCTCGATCCCCGAGCCATCAATGCTGCATGATAGCCCAAGGGATCAAGTTTGCCACTTGATGTAAAGATGCATGCAACCATACAAATGAGGACCAAGACCCTATCATGCCGAAGTCAAGGGTCCCGGTGACCGAGAGTTAAGACACGTTTCATCACTTATGGTATGAACGCCCCTTAACACTCACACTTGGTTTGACACCCCAAACCAAGTAATGCAATGCGTGTTATGCAAACATGGCTCAAAATGCAACATGATAGCAAGATACAAGGCATACCAAGTGTCATGCAACTAATATGACAAGCATGCAATGTTAGGCATGCAAGATGTAAATGTAATGCAAACATGGACCATTTGAGCAATGGGATCAACATATTACAAGGTTTAATGAAGCAATCATGCAATGGGCATGAGACAAGCATGCAAGAGGGCTTTGAACCATAAAGGGGCAGACCTTGATCCACCCCAAAACAGTGGCCAAAAGTGCCTAGCAAGGTGGACAAAACTCATGCCAACAAGCAAACCAATGGTCCTAAAGTTCAGGCACAAAAGGAGGGCTTTTCACTCCCACCAACAAGACCACTCATGGCATGATTAAGACAAGTAAATACAGAATTTTAACATGCAAAAAGGGACTCCAAAACCTCCTAATATGGCAGCTAAAGTGGCTCCAAAGAGGCATATGCACCGAAGCTCATTCCTAGGCATAAGAGGGCACACCCTCAAGGCATAAAAGAGGCCACACATGCACACATGGAAACATGATTTTTGGACTGAAATATGGTCCTAAATGATGCCAAATCAAGAGGATGATCATAGCTACACATGCTAGAGGTCAAAATGCTTAAAGCTTACAAGCCAAAACACAAAGGGATGACATCAAACAAGGCAAGCATGAGTGAAATGGATGGTCAACAGACCTTGAACATGGTAAAATAGTGCCAACACCTTCATGGAACTAAGCCAACACATGCAAGAATCATGGCCTAATCATGAGATACATTCCTAGGCCAAAAGGGGAGATGTAAAGCAAGTATATTAAGCATGTAACAAGCCACAAATCTGACCAAAAACAGAGATTATATATGACCTAAAAACACCCAAAAAACTCTGAAAAAGGGCTAAAACCAATCAAGCACACATGTTACCCTTTAAGCCAAAATGCAAGAAAATAAGACAATGAAGGAAGAGGGATGTCCCTCCCCTATGCGAGACTTCAAACCACCTTCCTCACCACTGAAAATCAACTGGTTTTCAGTGGTGAGAAGACCAAAACACTTGAGCAAACAAAGCCTTATCAAAGAGGCAACAAAAAGGGCCAAATAAGACCTAAGAGGGTGAGTTTAAACTCAAACCATAAAGGACCCTTAATGAAAGTTCTTAAGCATGAAAATACAAGCCTTTTTTATGTTATGCACAAAAACTAAATCAGCAAGTAAGACAGGTAAAAGACTAGTGTAAGCTTGGGGAAACTAAAGTAAAATGCTCACCCTTGAAGCACACTTCAAGAACAGCCAAGGCAGCCTCCTCCTTTTGATCAAAAACAGTCCAAAAACTCAAGAATCAACCCTCAAAGTCCTCAATCTCGGAGCAAGGTGTAATAGTGTGTGTATTGGTGCAAAAGTAAGGCAAAATCACACTTTTAGGCCAAGAAACACACACAAGAGAGGAGAGAGAGGGAAATATAGAGAGAGGATGTATCTATATGTGTAAGCCCTGGTTTTGCCTCCAAAATCTCTAACCTAGAGCAAGGAGAAGGCCTCTCCTCTTATAGAGGTCCCTCTACGTGTATGGAGGGAGGCAGAGTTGGTGCCAGCTATCACAGCTGGCACAAAATATCTACATAAAGTAGATGAACAGTGGTCGGCTGCCCAAAAATGTCATTTTGACAAAAAAGAGTGCCGACCGGCAACAAAATGTGCCGACCGGCATCAAACAGTGCCGACCGGCAATAAAAAGTGCCGATGGCATCAAAAACCAGCCGGTGACCTTTAGCCACTGCCGGTGGTGTGTGGGGATGCCTCACA